CCAGGTTGAAGTTTAGCTATCTCTACTTGCTTTCTGGGATAAGGAAAAAAAGTCTAGTGACTTCTAAAAGAGGCCTAAATTTTCCCCACTTATGCTTTTCTTTCATGCAATTCTGTGTCTGCCAGAATAAAGGTTGGCGTTGGCATAGCACAAAAAAATCCATTCTGTTTTTCACTTGTCTCCGTGCTCTCCGAGGAGCTCTCTATAGCTGCTACATTCCTTGAACCCACCAGGAGCTAAGGAACAGGACAGTGTTCACATTCTCCAGCCGAGACTTAGAACTTTATACCAACAGAACAAAATAAAGCTATGAGCCAGACTCCTCTGTGACATACCTACAACTGAGGCAGGAAGGGTTCAAGTTCAAGAAATTGTTCTGGTTACTTAGAAAAGAAAAGCATTTGTCTTCTCTTGAGCCCTGTGCAGAAGAACCCCTACTAGCTAATGAGAGTGTGGATATGAACCAAAAATGTACATGAATCAAAGTATTTTGTGCTTAGTATATTCAGGGCTCTTCTGAATGTCTTAATTTTTCTACCAGTAACATGATAGGAAGAATAGAGCACCATTGAAATGCATAGCTAAAATGGCAGGGAAAGTCCACATTAACTAAATATTTTCCATTTTCTAGCCTAAAGTTTAAGATGGGGTCATGTGACTAATTTTGGCCAATGATGGGTTTGTGAGCCAGAATCTCTCTCCTTCTTTTTATTGCCCTGTCACAATATCATAGAAACCTGTGTCAAGTGGCTTTACTATATGAAAGAGGGCAACCAGACTCACACTAGACGTCACAGAAATGAGAAACAAGCCTTTCTGTATGCAGTCACCACAGTTAGGTGCTTCTCTGCTACTATGAACCACGTCAGTGAAGACCGCCAGGGACCATGCTGCAACTGTGCTACATGGCTAAGGCATGGTGCACCATCAGGAGGAGCAGTTACAAAGAACTTTGTCTCTGAAGGTAACCTGAAGGGCACCTTTTTACCTTTTTTTTTTTCTGCACTAGCAATGATACTGAACACAGACACCATTCAGAAAACCAAAATCATGGCCAAAGGTCATCAAAGTGACTTCTGTGTAGTGACTGTAAATAAAGTCTTAAGCAGGGATTTCAGAAACCCTTCTCCATGAGCTCTTTATCACTTCTTACTTATGTGCTTCCAGCTGCCTGTCCCTTGGCAGTGCCCACATAAGGAAACTTCCTCTCAGAGGTATGCTGGGTTCCTATCCCTGCCCTGAGGTTGACATCAAAACAATTCTGCAACAGGAAGAACCAGGAGGCGGCTGCCTGCTCATCTGACAAGAATCCCTCCTTCAGCAGGAAGACTGGAGGTGGTTTTATCTGATGCGTGGTTACGTAACACTGTCTCCCTCAGAAATATCTCCTACCAGGAATGGTTGCTCCAGTTCACAAATAAATACCTAAAGCTCTGTCTGAGGCTCCAAGCTTTCCTTGGATTTCCCTTGGAGCCATCAATACAAATGTGGCAGGAGACAGCACTGAAGATGGTGATGCCTCGGAAAGAAGCAGAGTAGGTTCTCCCGAGATAATTTGGAAGTTGCAGCTTAACCATGTTCCCGTCACACAAGGACTGCTCTTCGGTGGGTGGAGCTGAAACATCTATTTAGAGCTAATTGCTAAAGGAGCAAAACTGGAGCTGAGAGAAAAAGCAGGAGGAAACAGCTGGGCGACACATTAGTCTCAGCATGGCAGAGACATCCATGTGCAGAAGGAAGCAAGATGGGACAGTTTCTGCTTTACAGGGCTCAGGAATTTAGAATCCTTTCAGACGTTGGATGCAAAGTCCGTTTGACACAGTCCATCTAAGTGACGATCTCAAGTGACAAGAACAAGCAAGAGTCTTTCAAATCCAACAGTACCCTTTGCTATTCGGCCTGTATAGTTCCCAAAGCTCACTGCTGTCACTTAAAGGAGACCAGCTGACAAAAAGCATGGATGCCTAAGAAGAGACCCCAATGAGGGCTGTCTGTGTGTTGTGTCCAGATTGGTAGGTCTGGAGGTACATTTCCATAGTGATTGTCCTCAATTGTCCTGTAACCCACCCGCTGCACCCAGGCATCCAGTTCCTAATATATCTGCTAAAGGCCAGGACAAAGGAACAGTTTCCTGTTCTACTATAGGCCAACCTTTTCACAGAGAAGCCAGAGGCTTACCTATCCAGTGTCTAACTCTACTGTCAAATGCAACCTACATAGACTCGGCTCAACAGTGAGGTGAGATTCTGATTTAGAAACTGCAAAATAAGAACTTAAGAACATGCAAGATATTCCGGGTGTTTTGCCCAAACATGCTTCTTTATTTAAACTGCAAGTCTATGTGATAAAGTCACTGAAGCGTTGCTAATATGTGGACAATAAAGTAACATTCTCTCTGGAGTTCGGTTGAGAATCATCAAGTTAGGCACTGCAGAGATGACTCAGTGAAAGCGCTTGCTGCACAAAGGCAGGGAGCTGAGATCAAATCCCCAGAACCCACATAAGGCCAAGCACAGTAGAAGGCGAGGACATTATAATACTCCATACTTGAGCCATGATGCAGGAATTCACACACATACTCACACGCGTGCAACACACACACACACACACACACAGACAGAGAGACAGACAGAGAGAGAGAGAGAGAGAGAGAGAGAGAGAGAGAGAGAGAGAGAGAGAGTTAAGGGACATGTGATGGGTTAGAAGCTACAAATCGAATAGTCATCACTATAAATTGATAGCATGGGTGGTGTAACTGGTGCTTGGCAGAGTGCCTGCACAGCACATCCCACACCCATCCCTCTATAAGTGCCTGATACTGTGCCAGCACAAATGCCAGATGGTGGAGGCACTCTCATTTTGTCTGGTGAGGCTAGGAATGGAACCCTTGGCACTCAGACACTAGAAGCTGCCCACTCTTACTCACAGGCTACAAATTCAGGCTTCCTTGAGTCAAGCTACATAGAGCCATGGAAGGGGAGAGAGCAGGTTGTGGAGATGTCCCTGGACTGTACCAGTGTCCATCTTGAGGTGCTACCAATAACAGATGAGTTATTTTGGGATGTTCGGCACTTACTCCGCCCCTCTGTTGGTTCTAGTCAGACTTCTGAAGAGTATTGCCTGACTTCAATACCCACAGTCACCTTCCCTTCCAACTGAGGAGTGTGGGACAGAAGGCTGCAGGAAAACATAAAGCAAAAAATGGGGTGGTGGTGTCTGGTGAATACTTGTAACAATGCTTGCTGGAGTCTCCTTGTTAAAAGAGCAGAATGTTCCAGAAATGCAGCAAAGTAGAGCCTGAACTGAGTCTTCAGGCACCAGCAGCCCAGTGAAGAAGACATGTTGCCCAACAGATAGGTGTGCAGTAATAATTAAAGGCCTGATATCTGGCCATAGACTTTGGCAGGCCTGTGGTATACCTGGAGTCTAGGGATAAGAGCTGCTGTACATGCACATGCAAGTCACTGGGAGCCTGACTGGCCTGCTTTCTAAACAGATCAGGCTCTAGTAAAGATCACCAGCTCACTTGTCTAAAAAGGTGTTTTCCTAAATTCCATGCCAGATCTACTAAAAGAGAATGTTCACCAAAGAGGCATCAAACCAGTATGAGTCTGTGTGTGTGTGTGTGTGTGTGTGTGTATGTGTGTCTGTGTATGTGTGTGTTGTGTGTGTCTATTTGTAAGGAAGCCTAAAATTGATGTCAGGCACTGTCCTCAATTACTCTCCACCTTATTTTGTGAGACAGGCTCTCTCACTGAACCTAGAGCTTGTCACTTTAACTAGCATGGCTGACTAGTAAGTCACAGCAATTCTCCTGTCTCTATCTCCCCAGCACTGGCATGCTTGTTTGTCGGTTTACTGTTGTTGTTTTTAATACAGGCTTTAGACAACAAATACTTTCCTGACTGAGCCATCATCTCAGCCTTAACTGGGAATTATCATTCTTTCTGTTTTTTTTTTTTTTAATGTGTCTGGGTGTTTTGCCTGCATACGTTTCTTTGCACTACATGCATGCCTGGTGCCTATGGAGACCCAAAGAAGGTGTCAGATACCCTGGAAATGGAGTTACAGATGGTTGCAAGCCTCCACATGAGAGCCAGGAAATGAACCTGGGTCCTCTATAAGAGCGTACAGGGCTCTTAAACACTGAGCCATCTCTCCAGCCTCTAAACTGGTATTCTCAATATGTCCTCATGTGGCTCTTAGGACCAGGCAAGTTTGGAAGTGGTCTGGCCTGGATACAAGGTAATGGGAACTAATTCCTCACTCATTTTAACTGGGCATCCTGTTTTCTCAAGCCTCCTCACTCAACACACACTCCTTGCATGTCCCTATCAGACCTCCAGACTTCTGGACACCCCCATACACCTTCACACCCCAATACCCCCCACCCCTGGCCTAGTAAGACTGCATGTGACTTTTATTCTCAGAAGCAAAGCAGTCCTTTTCTAACAGCTGAAATCACAAACCACGCTCTGTTTCTCCTTGTTTCCTTTTTATTAGGTGATAAAGGGTTCACGTCTGTGGCCTACTCCAGGGAGGAACGATGGCGCACTGTGGTGATAAAGGGTGAAGGAGAGGAGAGGGTACATCTGGGAAGAGGGATTGGAGTTGTGAGGATAAATGTTTATGGGTCAGAAAAGCATGCCTGTAGCCATTTGGCAAACTGTGCTAGAACACGCCTTAATGAAGAGACAAATGAAATGTCCTCCTAAGTCTTCTCAGGAGTGCTAGCCAAAGCTGTCTGAGTGACAGCAATTGCACAGGATCAATTGTGTACATGCTGTGTGAGCAGGCTAGGGATTAGGTTTCACAGTACCAATAGGCATGCTATCACTTCCCCATTGGGGAATCGCTCTCTACCTTGGGTACCTTGGCTTCAGATAGCTCAGAAAGGATTAGTGAGAAACTCAGTTGCAATTGCTATTTGAAACAAAGAGGGGGAAAATGGGGAGGGGGAAGGAGACACAATGCCAAAAAATGAAAACTCATTTTAGCTCTTCTATTAAAGCCAGATGTATTTTAGGCCCTGTTTCTAGGCAACTGCATAATGGTAATATTCTTGAATCTTTTTTTTTTTTAAGACTCACAACTGTCAGAGTCAGTAAAGGTCATAAGGTAATTATAAAGTAATAAGGATGACATACGAGAGGCAGAATCACCCCAGGACGCTTGGAAAGCACTGACAAGTTCTATTCTGCATTCATTTTCAGGAACTCTGAGATCTCACCCTGGGCATGTACAAGTCTCCTGTGCAATCAAACCTGAACAGCATCCACCTGGCACCTGGCCCTCAGTCACCACATCTCTCAAATCACTCCTCAAGGGTCAGTGTGGTCCCATCATATGCATGGCCCTGCTCTACTTAAGGAGGGTGGGTAACAAACCTCTAAGAATGTCTCAGCAACAACAAAGAACTCTCCACCTGGCTATTGCCTCGGAGTGCAGATCCGAGGCTCAGGACAAATACTGAACTCAGAGAGGAGGGGTAGAGTGGAGAGAGGGAGAGACAGAGGGCACTACAGTCTGGAAGGGTGTGGATACGCCCAGCTCGGCCCGAGATGGGCCTGATCTTCATCGTGTTGACGTTTACTGAGTTCCTGGAACACGTTGCTAAGCAGGCCCGGTGTTCACGTTCCCCATCGCTCCACCTTCACATCTGTGGGAAGAGGATTCCGGTTTATGGAGGAAATAGCTGGGTCTTGGAGCAGTTAAGAGTGTCTCAAGCTCCCTCACTTGCTACATATTCAGACGTCCTCATGCTTGCAAGGCTCTTTCTAAGATTATATGATGTAATCTGTGTGAAGATGCAGCAGTTCTGGACACACAGACACTCAGAGCATCTAGGAGCTGCCAGCCTTCAGAAGAAAGGACTTCAGAGCTTGCACCACCTGGCAAGTCCCTTTCCCACCTTCCCACTCTTCCACCTCCAGGCAGCCCTCCTAATTCTGCTGCTAGGGAGAGTCACTGTCCACTCCTGGAATGTTCTTCTGTATCATTCACCCCACAGTCCATCCTAGTTAAGACAGCAGCCTCTCACTCTCCTTCCTCCCTACACCCTCCTCCGTTCATAGCCATTCCCCATCATCTAAAACACCCTGTGATTTTTTTAATGTATATTTGTGCGTGTGTGTGTGTGTGTGTGTGTGTGTGCATGTGCGCACCCACTGAGGCCAAAATAGGGCATCAGATTCCTTGGAGCTGGAGTTACATGTGACTGTAAGACACTGGTGCTCTTTAAGACCCAGGTTCACATCCTCTAGATGCGCTCTTGTAAAGCCTGACCAACCCCATTTTCTGAAGAAACTCCATTTTGTTTGTAACCAGGGGCTAAACTCCACTTCCAGGAGGAAAACCACAAAGTCTATTTGAGCAAACATTCCATGGCAACAAGTCCCCATACCCAGCAACAGCCAATCAGGTTACAGTAGTAGGGTCAAGATACATATAGGTAACCGAAGACATCCTGCAGAGAATAGATAACTTGGCCATTCTCTTTGTCAGGGTAGTTTTGTCCCTGTGTTTGGTTCCTGCAGATTATGTCAGCAAAGCAGTTTTTAAAATATTACCTTGCTGATCAGTATGGAAATTCCCCAAGCCTGCTGTAACCACAATGAAAATCTTGCATCCCTAGACTCGGGGCTTTCACTCTGACCCACTGTGACTGGGACAGTGAGAGACCTTGCTCGGAATAAAGACCCTTATGTGTTTGCATTGGAACGGGCTCCTCAGTGTTCTTTGGGGTCCCTGGGACTTGGGCATAATACTCTTAACCATGGATCCACCTCTTTGTCCTTGTGTTTTTACCTCCTGCTCTCAGGATCCCACTTTTAAAAAGCTGTAAATATACCTATTTACTAGCTTGATCTTGTCCTAGCTGAGGCCCTACCTAGATGTACAAGAACTGTTACATGAATACTTGTGTGTATTTCTTCTTTCCCCGATCCATTCCTTCATCTCTCAAGGTCACACACCATATTGGAATAGAAGTCTTTGACCTTTGACCTTCCGATCTGTAAAAAAAAAAAAGAGTAAAAGTCCAACTGTCAGTGACATCAGAATAACTGATGGCTCTAAGACCAACGCATGCCCTGGTCCTAGGAGTATGGGTGTGAATCTGCTGGAGGGAGACATGGGATGGAGAGCGAAGTGCCATAGGCTCCTGTGACTGCTCAAGGAATCGGGAACTACTTAGGAGATCTAAAGTGACTCCCAGCACATCAGTGAGACAGAATAAAGGACCTGTGCCCAGTGTAATGGCTGCTTCTCTATCTTCATGGAAATCTTCCCAGGTAATCAATCCCCTCCCCTACAGAGTCACAGGCAATCGAGTATTCATCAGGACACCAAGTGTAATGTCCTGTTTGACCCTTGATTATGTAACTAAACTCAATTGGCTGAAAAGTTACACATAAGTACTGAACAATAAGGTTAGATCTCCCCCTCAGTGTTGGTCTCCAAAGTCCAAAATCCCAGGGATCTTTGTGGTGGGCTGCATCTCCACTCCCCCCACCCCCTTTCTGGTCCTGGTTCCAACAGACAAGTAATATTTGTTTCCTTTCCTTCCTCATCTCCATTTTTAAAATGCTTTTGAGACTTGGGTGGCAAGAACTGCATTCATTCTGTTTCCCAATATTTTGGTTCAAGCATTTTTGACTGATTCCTAGCTGCTGCACAGAATATGTTCATGGCTACAGCAGGGCGACATCAGCAACCAGCATGCTGTAACACGGTAGAACTAAGAGGTCTCCCAAGGGAAAGATCTGAGTCGTTCAGAGAAGGCATGCTCTCAGGAATGCTTAGCTATGCTAGTAGACAATCAAGAGCTCCTTGGGCCAAGAAGGGGTGGGAAAGTGCTGCAAGCAGCTGTGATTATGAATCAGTTACTGTAACTGATTTTGTTACTAACTATATATGGGGCTGTGGAAATCCTGGGGTGTTTGGCCACGCCCCAGAACCCAGAGACCTAACATGCAGTGGGTCATATGAGGCATAGGTAGAGGGCACGGAACAGGTCTCTGCCTCAAGATTTACATATTACCTGAAGACCCTAGCCCCTCCCTTTTCCCCTCTCCCCAATATAAGGAAACCCCTCCTGGCATTTTGTGGGAGAGCACCACCATTCAGATACAACCATCAACATGATCAATAAAACTTCCACTCCCTGCTCCATCGGGTCATCCCTGCATGCCCTGCTCCAGCGGCCCACGGAGCTCTCCCTGTTCCAGCCACCCGTGCACTGGGGCCCTCGTGGGCTGTCCCGTCTCTGCTCTGTGCACCCCTTCCTCCCCTGTGCCACTGCTCCGGGACCCTGCAGCCGCCTGCAGCATGTGGACTGTTTGCCCGCGCGGCGCTGGTGCCATCAGCTGAGAGTGCAGCCAAGTCCCGAGTTCCGATGAAGGAGCCGGGACAGCCTCTGCTCACAGGTGCACAGGCACAATTCCCCCCTCCACCCCCCCCGCGAGTTTTGAACCACAACTATAGGCGGTGGAGCATAATGTCTCTTACATGTTATAGAAAGGACTTGGGTTTTACTTTTGAAAATTCAGCTGATCCAATTTGTATTCACACACTTCACTTGAGTGCAGGATGACTATATTCCAAGCTTACTAAGAATAGCAAAGGAGAGCTGAGTATTGAAGTCCATGTCTACAATCCCAGCACTCAAGAAGTTGAGGCAGGAGGATTGCTGTCTGTTTGAGACTATGGTGTAAGATCCTGTCTCAAAACAAGGGAGGGGGCTTAGTTTAGGAGAGGTATTTTAGTGGATACAACACTTGCTGTAAACACTGGGCTTCAATCCCTAGCATCCACTGTGAAAAGCTGGGTGGATGAGGTGACCCATCTGCTATCCCACAGCTTGGGAACCAGAAACAGAGGATCCCCAGGGAAGGATGGCTAGCTAGGCTAGCCAAATCAGCAGGCTGTAGGCTCAGAAAGAGATCTTGCCTCTCCTTTAATGAAGTAACAAGCTATCAGAAAAAAGCACAAGAAATCAACTTCTGGTCTCTACAAGTGTGTCCAGGCACATGAATGCACACTCACACATGAGTGAGTGCCCATACTTGAAAATATTCATACACTCATGCACATATCACACACACACACACACACACACACACACACACACACACACACACACACAGCTACAAAGCATCAAAACCAAAATTTAAAAAAAAAATTCAAGGAAGACTTGAGATTATTTTCAGTGGCTTTTGAGGAAGAGGGAATTTCCTGCCTACTTGTTTATGATACACCTAGCCTTTTCTGAAGTTGACAAGAGAGAACACAGACCCATCAGAATGAAGCACTTATCCTGGAGAGGCTGGGGGCTCAGCACCTGACAAGGCCACTGCAGTAAGCCAGGGGCTGCCAGCCTCCAGAGACCAGAGAGTCCCCAGGCAAGAGAGTCTATTTTGAGGTTGCCTGAAAACCAAATTCACAGAAAGAGCCACACTTGACATCAGTTCTAATCACGAGGACTTGACTGACCCACTTCTCAGGGACTCTCCAGGCCAGAAGTTGCTTGTTGGAAGCACACTGTTCATGGTTGTTCATTATCATCTGAATTATCCAAAATTATCATCTGAATCATCCAAAATAAATGAAAACAATTTTTAAATTCTGGTAAACATCCAGTAACCTGGAGATTTCACATAAAAGTTTGGTTCCAGCTCTTCATAGAAAAGAACCAGAGAACAGTGGTTCATTGTCTTCTCTGACACAGTGGGCTGGAGTGAGGCAATGGCTGCCACCTCTTCCCGTTGCTGCCTATTCTTCCTTCTAAGTAGAGAATGATCTCATTTGTGGACCACTCTGTGACCTTTCAGGCATTCAGATGACCTCTGAATCTTCAGAAACTGACCTCAAACGGCCATGGAAGTACTCTTACCCCATTTCCAGGCTGAGTTTATCGGCTTCTCTAAATTATCTATTGAGTCCTGCCAAAACATTTTTCCATGGTAGATTACTCAATGCCAATAAAAGCCAGGCATTTAAGAGCAGAGAATATAATGAAGAATATAAAAGAAGACAGGAGGGGAAACGTGGGCTAGAGTGTAGATTGAGAGAGCAGCCCCAGAAAGGCAGATCCTGAGGCCTGAGCAACTAGGCTATAAAAAAAAAATAAAATACACAGAAAGTGACAGGGTGGGGCCTGGAGAAGAAACAAAAGGAGAAATATCTCTTAACAGGAAGTTGAGGGAAATGTGGGAGTATGGGTAGGAAGGGAAGGAGTCTTCCCCACATCAAGCCACATGGGCTAAAGCTTAACAGCAAAACATTAATAATCTGTGCTTATCCATCTTATTAGTAATTAGACTTAGCATTCCTGGGACTTTGAATGAGGTGCTAAGTGCACAGTATGCTAACTTCGGCAGGGGTGAAATTTTTTCCAGTTCAAAATTAGTGCCCCAGCCAAAAAAAAAAAAAAGCGATGAAATGTTTCACCAGATGGTTTGGCTCTTTAATCTCTACAAACATTTTAAAAACACTTAAAGCATTTTTCAGTGTTTTCTGTGCCATTGCGTTAGGTGATAACTGCAGGCTTGCTTGTTTCCTGTTTGGTTTTCCTTTGCTCTCTCTCCAGACATCTTTGGCCTTGGAAGACTGTGGTTGGTCCACAAAATTGGGAGTTGGGGGCATGAAGAGTTGGGTAACAATTGGAGAGTTGAGAGTGCCAACAGGTGGTTTCATCATTTAAAGCCTTGTGATTCCTCCTTTTATCTCAGGTTTCCCAGTGAGCGCTGAGTTTGATGGTGGATATTTGCAGCATGCACATTGCTCATATCAAGATGAGGCCATGTCCCCTCAAATATGAGATTTCGCTGGAGCTGTGCAAAAGCTCCCTCTCTGCCTGATTACGATACAAAAGGAAGACGCCTCCAGATGGCTAAGACATGGGAGTGGGACAAAAAGTTCTTGCCCCTTAAGAACTGGAAGAAAGGCCAGGAGGTGGTGGTGCACGCCTTTAATCCCAGCACTTGGGAGGCAGAGGCTGGTCTACAGAGTGAGTTCCAGGACAGCCAGGGCTACACAGAGAAACCCTGTCTCGAAAAACCAAACAAACAAACAAAAAAACAAAAGACAAAACAAAAAAAAACTGGAAGAAAGCAAACAAATGAACACCAGGAAAATCTATTTCCTGAGGCCACTCTCTCTGCCCTTTAAAGGAACTTCTCTATCCAAAGGCGTGCATGAAGGACATGCAGCAGCAGCTGGATAAGGTGCATGGCAGAGTACAGTACGGCACTGCCATAAACACGTCCCTTACTGTCAGGGTAGACTGCAGAAGGACATCTTGGGTTGACATGGGCCTGGAACCCCAAGACTGCAGATGTTTGGCCACGCCCCCAGAACCCAGGGCCCTGACACTCGGTCTCATCTCCATTTAACCTGTAAGGTCAGTCACGTAAGACACAGGTAGAGGGCGTGACTAACAGGCCTCTGCCTCAAGGAATTTACATATTAATAAGGCAGGGGGGCCTAGATAATTAAGTTATTCCTCCCTGGTCCCTCCTCCTTCCCACCCTCTATATAAGCCAGCTCTCCCCAGACTCTTGGGGGCACATTCACATCCAGATCCAACCACCATCATGGGCAATAAAACTTTCATCTCTTGGATTCCAAGTGTGTTCTGGAACCTTGGACTTTCTTGCGGATGTGGGAATCTGCCCGGAGGAAAGCCTCCAGGACAGCCAGACCCAGCCGCTGCGGTCCACAGCGGGCCGCCTGCACTGCCGTGTCCCCACAGGCCACCTCCTCCGATGCTCCCTGGACTCTGCCACCCACACAGTCCGAGGGTGGGCCCGAGCTCCGCCCCCCCGCAAGTTTTTTCCCTTCACCTTTCATTTTGTAAATTCTAGTAGTGTTCCCCTACAGGATTTGACTGTCTGGAAAAAGCAATGAGAACCAGACTAGCAAGATGGTCCAGCAGTTAAGAACACTGGCTATTTTTCCAGAGAACCCAGGTTCAGTTCTCTGCACCCATCCACATAGAGGCTCACAACCACCTAGAACTCCAGGTCCGAGGGATTACACACCCTGTTCTAGCTCCAAGGTCACCAGCATGCACCTGGTGCAAAGATGTATATTCAGGCAAACCACCACAATCATCATCAGCAGCAGCAGCAAAGTGTTATATTAATGCAATGTCAATTTAAATGGCAGATAATTAAACATATATCACTAAAAGAGCAATGGAGATTTAAAAACACTTGAGTGGGGGGCTGCAGGGGTCAGGGAGGCTTTAGAGATGACTCCACAGTTAAAATATTGGTTGATTTTGCAGAGATTCTGTGCTTGGTTCCTAGTCACCACATATAGACTCACAACCCCATGTAATTCCAGTTCTACCATCTTCGGGCTGCCTCACGCAGCAGGCATGTTCATGGTACATATACATACAATGCAGGCAAAGCACCCAAATATATAAAAAAAACAGCAAATATACTTATTTTTCAAAAGAAAACACTTCAAGTCTGTTATCTTTGTCATCTGATAAGAGAACAACCCAAGTCTGACTGCAAACCCTGATGCTGAAATAACCCTGCTTTTCACATTTTGTTTTGGTTTTGATGACTCAGATGACTTAGAACTTTACGTATTAATGTGAAGTTCTAATTAAAGATTTTCCACTCTTCCTTAATCTCCTGATGGTTTAACTCCAGAACCCTTAGGGCACAGTCATGGTCAGAGGAAGTAGAACTTTTTTAGAGAAGAACAACCAAACTAATTCACCCAGTAGTTACTAACCATCTACTATATGTCAGTTATCCAAAGCATTAGAAATGTATCAGTGAATAAGAGACTGTGAGGCAGGCTAGCATAGGTAATAGCTTAGCAACCTGGAATTCTTCTTGGTTTGGACTATCCATACTCTCCTGTTCTAATAATGTACCCAGGAACCTTGCGCAATCTAGGACTTCCTGTGGCATCAAGCTGCACATATATCTCTCTCCAAACAATGGACTGTTTCTCTTCCTTTAATGCCCATCAAACATGGACAGTTTCTACACAACTGGATTCCAGTTACATCCTGGAAGGAGGGCTAGTCTATCCTGAACTAGCCTTGGATGTGGGTGTAATAAAGCAAACTGGCATCTCAGTGAACTGTTAGGGAGACTTCCCTGTTAATGAATGTGTAAATGGCCATTCATGTGATTGAAATCAAATGCATCATGGGGAAGGACACAGCAGTGAGCAAAACATTATAATTCAAATCTGTCCATCAAAACAGAGAACCACCTGTATCATGCCCTTTTGCAACTAGTTCCTCTTTTTCTTGAATCCATAAAAGGAAGTCCACAGCATCGTGGTAGGTCCTTGGGGATTCGCTCACACTCATGCAGCCACTGTCACTTTTGATGGCTGCTGACACTTTTGATGGCATTCTTTCTGATCTACACTATCATGTCACTTTTGAATCTTCTGAATTAAGTTTCTTACCTACTTTTCAATCTATGTGAACCTTTATTTCAAGTCTTTGGAAAGAAGCCAAGAACCTGGAAAGAGCCGACTTAGACTCTGAATATCAGTAACCAGTGGACTTTTTAAAAGAGCCCAGGAGCTGATACTTTTGGTTTTGCAATCCTAACTACAGAACAACAAACACATCACTTGAAATCACTGCATTCATGACCATCGTTAGGCAACTTCAGTGGACTGTGCAGAACAGAGCTCACTTCTGTGAGCAGCCAAAATACGCTGTCTTTCCCACAATATAATTGTGGTGGAAGGAAATCCTTCTAAGGCTATTTAAACCTCCACCAATGTGGGCTAGCTGATGCTCAAAGAACTGATTGTCTACTGGACATGGTACATCCTGTGATCATGCTTCAGAAGTAGACCAGGCTGTTAATAAAGTTGTACAAGGTAACTTTCGAGCTTAATTAAAAATATCTAGAGTCCCATTATTCCCTTTGAGTCAGATTTCCATATAGCAGTTTGTTTTTAATTATTCCGAGAAGAATGTGGCTCAAAATAACCAATAATACATTTAAAAGTCAACAATTTCTATTTCCATTTTTGGTTACAAGAGCTTCCTCTCCATTCATTTTCCTCAGGGTACCACACCTGAAGAGGAAATGTCTGGTTTCTTTACCAACTCAATTGTGTCATGTGATATTTTGCTGAAAACAGACAGGTGAAAGGACATGTCATGTTTAGAAAGAATATAAATAGAAGCTTACAAATAGAGAGAGAATGTTCTTGCATCGCTACACTGAGCAATGCTTTGCTGGTCTCCAATTTGTAGAGAGAAACATGGCAAAGAACTTCTTGGTGGTATTACAGCTGATTCTGGCTGCTCTCACTGACTTGTGCTGATTCAGAGAAGCCTTGTTGTTTCTGCTGGATCATGCCACCACTACTGATTTGTTTTTGGTGTCTGCTATCGACTGATGGTATCCTGACAATGAAGAGTAGAATTACCCTGAGGAACTACTTCTAAACAGGTTCACAACTCCCTTTTGTTAATAGCCTTCTTCTTCCCTACCTCTGTTTGGTGGGATAGAAGGGAAGTTGAAGAATTTAATAATCCTAAATAAAGTAGGGTTTGAAAAATCTAAGCTTACACATACTTTATTATTTTTCTTTCAATAAAAAGTCAATGAATTCATTCCAGCCCACTCCCAAGCAACGTGAAGCTGTATTTTATCACCTGTTCCCTTTTCTAGAAAATTACAAACTCAAATGACTTAAGGATTCAATACATGTAGCTATCAGGATATTTCTTTAAAGTAAAATGTACATTAAAGAAAAACCCTTCCACTTTCAATAATATTAATCAGATGAGTATTACCATAATTCATTTGTTTGCCTTTTAAAAATGATTATGATAATAAAACAAAAAATGATTATGATCAACTTCTTAGAAGTCAAAGGATCAATCCAGTTCATACATCACATGATCAATACCTAAGATTTAGATTTTGTCAAGAAGCATAGCTTGCCATGCATGGTACTACATACC